CGCGAGACAGTAAACGCTGTCTCGGAAACAGTAACCGTCAGGCAGTTTTTGTTTTAACTGACTTCCCACGTTTCAAACTCCATTATTTTGGCAGTTATCCACGTGATTCTCACACACGACGTTTCCCACGTTCTTGAACAGTTAGTGGCCACGTGTAGGGCAGTTACAAGGGCGGTTTTGACCATCTGAAAGCTGTCTCACGCGCAAGACAGTAAATTCTGTCTCGCACGGCGAGACAGTAAAGACTGTCTCGCGTGGGCGAGACAGTAAAAGTCTGTCTCGCCCGCGAGACAGTAAAGACTGTCTCGCACGGTGAGACAGTCAAGTCTGTCTCGCGTGCGAGACAGTAAAGACTTGTGTTCTTCTACTTTTTTTAGTTTTTCATCTAATAATAGAAGAATATATATATAGGAAAATTAAAACTCTATCTCTAGCCTAACTTCCTAATTAGAATAGGATTCCAACTCCTAATCATGATGAAACTCAAACTCCTAATCATGATAGATCTCTAACCCTATCTAATTCTCATGAAATTATACAAAGAATTAAAAACACAATCCTAACTTGGAGTTTGAGTTGATACCCAACATATCCTCCCTCGACGAAAAAATCTCCAAGTGTCTCAACAGCTTCAGAAAAACTCACTCTCTTCTTTTTGTTATTCACGTCTAACTTGTGGACAAGAGTCTGAGAAGAGTCATCTACACCATTAACAGATCGCTCATCTAAATAGCAAATATGGTTGCTATTCTTCCTCTCTCGCAAAATCAAATCATCATCTTTATACACTTTGCACCACTATCCATCACCTACATACTTGTATCCACGCGATGTCATCTCACCCAAAGAAATTAAATTAGCACCACATTACAACACATATCTCACATGATGAAGAATTCTGACATTCCTAGTGTGAAGCTTGAGGCGAACACTTTCAAAAACCTTCAACCTTCATCTTCTCGTTGTTTCCAACAATCACGTCGTCAAATTCTTTATCTGTCTTCAATGAGTTAAAATAAATTTTGTTGTTGTAAACGTGCATAGAGGCTGCAGAATCTAACATCCAAGTGTTACTCGTATTAGTACATGTACTCTGCATGAACAACACAATATCTTCATCACACACAACCACCGAGGAGTCTGTCTTCTTTCCATTTTCTTGAAGCTCCATATGCCTAATACTCTTCAAATCATCACACATCTAGGAATATCTGAACTGAATGTGACCCTTCTCTCTGCAATAATAGCACTCCCTTTCGCTGTTGTCTCAGGTCCGAGATTTTGATTTTTCTCGATAACTGTCACATCTCCCTTTACTCTTTCCTCAATTAGAACCTTCAAAAGCTAGTGTACTCTCATCACCCTTAGATGTGCTCTCCTTTCCCATCATTTTTTTATTCTCACGTAGGAGTGTTGTCATATCGTTAAACTTCAAAGTTTACTTCCCTACAATTATCGTCTGAACTAACAGCTTGTACGACTTCGACAAGAAAGATAATATGAGTAGGGTCTGCTCTTCTTCTTTAATATCCTCATCAATATTCATAAGTTGGCAAACTAGTTGATTAAAGGTATTGATGTGGTCTTGAATTATAGTATCTTCTTCCATCTTTAACGAATAAAGCTCATCCTCAAACACAATCGGTTGGTCATCAATTTCGATGCATAAATCCCCTCGAGCCTTTCCCATAGCCCCCTTGGTGTGGTCTCTTGCATAATATTGCACTTGATCTCGAGGGCGAGTGCCAAACGAATTATGCTAACCGTCCTCTTTCGTATGGAACTCTATTCAGCATCATTCAATTCGTAAGGTTTCTTCTCATTCAAAACTTGATTAATACCCTACTGCAAAAGAATATCTTTCATCGTGCACTGTCATACTATAAAATTTGTCTTGCCATTGAATAGCAGAATATCAAACTTAAGAAGTCATCATCCTCTAACCGTAATAAAAATTCAAATTAGTTACTATAGAGATTAAATTTGATAAAACAGACATAAAAACGAACTCGGCACGTCGAAAAATCCTAGGAACGACTCCTAGATCACCAAAATCTGCCTCCAAATTCTCAATAAAAAGACAAATCAATCTGCACCGTCGGATTTCTCCTCCGCGTGATTAACCCCGCGGGAACATGTCTCCCGTGCTGCTACAGTATTCTGATACAGTATTCGTCTATAGTATTCTGCTACAGTACATTTTTCCCTTTTTTTGTGTTTCCCCTTGATGTCGATCATCGTGCTTCGAATACTGATGCCTTCACCAATCGCGCACCGGTCAAACCTTCATGAATCGTCGAACCCCGCTCTGATACCACTTGTTAGGATTTTTTAGATCTCTCAAAAACCCCAAAAAACACCAAACGCAGCAAATAGAATCACACAAGATTTAACATGGAAAACCCTCAACATGGAAAAACCATGGGATTAAAATCAATTCACTATCACCTCCAAATTACAATCTTTTGCACGAACAAATACTGCCAAACCCCCTCTCTCTCTCCTTCTCTTTACTCTTCTTGGTTTTTCCTCTAACAATAGAAGAACATATATAGGGAAACCAAAACTCTATCTCTAGCCTAGTTTTTTAATTAGAATAGGATTCAAACTCCTAATCATGATAAAACTCAAACTCCTAATCATGATAGATCTCTAACCCTATCTATCTAATTATCATGAAGTTATACAAAGAATCAATAACACAATTCTAACTTGGAGTTTGAGTTGATACCCAACACATCATGCTTTCTTATTCATAAGTTTTTTTGTCATTAAATATGTGTAGAATTGAGTATGACATATATATAGCACTGTCAACGAGGTTATATTCAAAATCATTACTTAGATTGTAAGAAGCATGTCACCTTAGCAAAATCTATCAAGTTAAAGCTACAATTAGCCTAAAAACTTTTCTAGGTGTAACCTACTAAGATTGTATTTAACATAATTTTCCTAATTCCATCAGATATATTATCTTCATGTTTCTACAACTTATGATTATGATCTATATATATTTGATTTGCAAGTCTGGAAAGAATTCGACGATTGACTTGGTGGAGGATTATATATATATATATATATATATATAATCACTGGACGATCTAAAAATGAAAAAAAAAACTAGAAGATAAGGAAAATACAGTAATAGGAGAATTCTTAGTTTAGTTCAAATTTTTTTAGGATTGTATTATATATTATACCCCATTTGGAAATAGTATATAGTTCTAGCATAATTGTTTTAATGGGTATGCTTCTGCAATAATATGAAAACATATGGTGAAAATTTCAGATTCATTATCTACATATGAAAAGAAAAATTACTAGGTGTCCGGCCTCGAACAATTTAATGTAAAACAGAAACTAATTAAACATTTTTTTAGAAATAGGACATTATTGTTGCAAATGTCAGAGAGTTTATTGAATCATACTTAAGACGTCGAAATACAATTGCTTTATTCCGAACTGTGGGATCTGCAACTTAATGTTGCATGTTATAAATAGAATGCATTGAGCAACTACAGTGAAGTGAGCCAATGAAACTCAAGAACAGCACATAAACAAAAACTATGAAAACCTCAGTGCAACACTGAAACCTTCCAGAATTCTTATTAAATAAAGTACTTGATGACTACATGATCTAAAACCCTAAACAAACAAACTGATGTTTGCGTTAAATCTGAAACATTGCAAACCTGACATCCTCATGATCCCTGAATAAGTTATGACTTACATCCAACATAATTCATAAAAAAAAAAAAAAATTAACTGATCATACCTATCAGTTCTACAACCTCAGGAAGCCAAACCGACACCCAAAAAATCTATAAAAGGTACATCCTTCCTTTTCAAAGATTCATCCTCGTGCTCTTGATGCTTACGTGAATCCTCCCCAATTCTCACCAATTTGCACTCGTCTCCTATAAACGAAAACCCGATGGAGAAACTCGACGAGCTCAAACCTCCATAGCACACCGTGAACAAGGCCACCTAGATTCGAGTGCTCTCAAGGATTCCATACCTGTCAACAGCCGACGAAATTGCTGCTGAACCTGAGAAAGCCAGAGAACTTAGATGGGCCTGGATTTCGAAACTCGAACAATTTACTTCCATCACGCTGGAAGTGATTTGAGCTATGAGGTCTCTCTCCATCATAGCTGTTGAGAAGCCTGCTTCTAGTTTTGCCAAGCAACCGCGATCTTTCTCTCTGTCGCCGAGCCATGATGACATGCCAGTGGTTCTTGACGGCGTTGTCCGTCCTTCCGGGGAAGAGCCGCGCAATGAGGGCCCACTTGTTGCCATGGACGCGGTGAGCAGCGAGAAGGCGCTCCTCTTCTTCTTCAGTGAAGGGTTTTCTGTTGATTCTCGGGTCTAGTTGGTTGAACCACCTCAATCTGCAGCTCTTTCCTATGAGAACAAGAAACCTTTAGGATCAGAAACTAATATAATTAAGGTCATAGCAATTCAAATTCAAACTTTAAATTCTAGCGTGTTAATGCAGATTGAGCGCCCTTTTTTTTATTTCTGATATCATCTTAAAGTCTCTTCCGTTGTGCCACACTTGAAACTTAATAATTTTATGTAGTCGATCTACGAGAGTTTTCTGAAATTAATTAATTTGGATACTTAATTATCGAACCTGATCGCCCTTGGAGCTTTTCTGCGATTGAGTTCCAATTCTGAGGGCCATACTTCTCCACGAGCTGCCTGAGCTTCTCGTCCTCGCCAGGCCTCCAGTGGCCTCGTGGGCACGATTTTGTTTGATCGTCGGAGCCTGAAACCTCTAAATCCTCCATATTTTGGTTGCTCATAATTAGGATGGTGTGAGATCAAGAAAAGACAGGGATAGATAGAGAGGGGATATGTAGAGAGAAGAGGGAGAGATTAGGGTTTGGATGGCAAGTCTTTTTGTTAGTTTTACACGACAAGAGTACTAGTGGGTGTATATAACTCTGTGAGAGAGAGAGAGAGAGAGAGAGAGAGTATCAAGATCTTATAGGGTGTAGGTTGCGTGTGCGTACTTGGGTGCATATAACCTTAGCTCAACTGTCTTCATAACTTATGTGACAATATGTCTTATTAATCAACTTCATTGATTAATAAAATACCTCTAACACCCACATAAATGCACGTGCGCACACTCTGATAGAAGTTGTCAACCTTTTTCTTGCATAAAACCAAGTATTGGAGGACAAATACAATAGACACTGCTATTAATTTGTCAAATGGACAAGTAGACTCTATGATGTTCTTATGAGGAGGTATAAATATATCTATGTATAATTTATATAGTTAGAGTATTGAATTACTTATGATATAATATGGATGGAGATCGAAAAGCATATATAAGTGATATTGGTCTTCCCTCAAAAATAAGAATAAACGCATTCACATCTTAAAACAGTACTGAAATGAATTTATTCCTTATTTTTTTAACTAAAATTAAGAAATATAGCATATTGTTTTTCAATGTAGCATATTATAGCTACTTTATTTTTTTTCTTGACAAAATCTACATGTATTTTCAGGAATATATTTATAATATAGTATATATATATATATATATTATATATATATAGAAAAATGGTATACTTGGTACCAAGGATCCTTGGTAGTGATGTGGACACATCTTGTCCATACATTACACCTTGAAGATGGAGCCTCACCAACTTCAAGGTGTGATGGTATGGACAAGATGTGTCCACATCACTACCAAGGATATTGGCCCAAGTATACCCATATTCCTCATATATATACTAATATATATATATATATATAATATATATATATATATATATATATAATATATATATTCACTTAGACAAAGTTTTATAATGCATGTGCACGGACCTTATAAGTTAACATGAACATCTAAAGACATGAATCCATTAGCTTGTAATCTACAAGCATATACTACACCTATAAAGATGTATCAAATGTGAACTTGTACTTGTAAAGATGACTAAACTTTTATACGAATAATTTGTTGCTCATGTCACTATAGTGTAACCTACCAAAGATAGGTAGCTTTTATCCACCAATATTCTGATGTAATTTTTTCAAAGAAGTACTGTTGTGGACCACCCAACTATATTGATTAACATCTGAAAAAACCCTAGTTTGGTACATGATTTTTATTTATATATGTAAGTTTTAAATGCCTCCACATGGTTCATTTCTCTTTGCAACTCTGAAAATAGTACCTCCTATGATAGTTTTAAATGCCTCCACATGGTTCATTTCTCTTTGCAACTCTGAAAATAGTACCTCCTATGATTAGAAATCCTAAATTCAACTTCATGAGTGAGGTGCAACTCTGAAAATAGTACCTCCTATGATTAGAAATCCTAAATTCAACTTCATGAGTGAGGGTGACCTCGATCCGTTACAATGATGGCGTTGTGGCTGTCAGCAACCACCATACATTCATCAATCGAATTAAAGAAAGAGGCATTTATGATGGTTTTTCTCATCTTGATTTCATAAGTTTGAAGAAATACATATGGAGGTTTAAGCAACCAAAAGACAATTTCTATTAGAATGAGGCATTTATGAATTTTTTTTTTTTAATCTTGATTTCATAAGTTTGAAGAAATATGAAAGTTTAAGCAACCAAAATGTCTATGTTTTTCTATGGATGTTTTTTTTTTCTTTTTCTTTTTCTAAGAGTTTGGGAAGATCGCCAAAACTAAGTACAGTACTAGGGGAATCAATTAGTGATAAAGTTTGTAGTTAAAGATGTTCTCATTTGCTAGGTTATATAGTTATTTGAGTTTATATGAAATTAATGTCTAGAATTAAGACAAATTTAGAAGGAAAAACAAATTGGGTCAAAGTTGCAGCGAGCTAAAATTTCCTATATCTTGACTGTTAAAGTAAGAGAGAGAGAGAGAATCTTGGGTAAATTTCCCTTGAATTGAATATTGAGTGTGCACATATATTTATACAAGTAGAGGAGTGTGAGGTTTGTTCTCCCAAGCAATGTGGGACTAAAACCCACTACAATACACTATTATCAACAGCCCCCTTCAAACTCATGTTGGATCAAACAAAGTGAGTTTGCGTACAAGAAACTGGAACCGATGAACAGGTAAGGCCTTTGTGAAGAAATCTGCAAGCTCGTCAGCGGATGAAACATGAGGAAGTAGAATTGTCTTGTCCTTGATAACTTGGTGACGGACAAAATGAGCGTCGATCTCAATATGTTTGGTCCTTTCATGAAATACTGGATTATTAGCAATCTGGATGGCACTCTTATTATCACAGTAGAGAGGAGTAGGAGTCGTAACAGAAATACCGAAATCACTGAGAAGGCGACGAAGATGAATAATCTCTTTAGCTGTTGTGGACATTGCACGATACTCTGCCTCAGTACTGGAAAGAGCAATAACATCTTGTTTCTTACTTCGCCAGGAAATAAGGGAATCACCAAGAAATATACAATAGTTAACCTGTGGTAGACTTTCTGGTAGTTGGATCACCAGCCCAATCAGCATCAGAATATGCACAAAGCTCTATCGGCTGTCTGAGCCAAGAGCTGGATCCGCCGGCACTCGGCAAGCTGGCTAGACCCACTCGAGTACTATGCACCTACTTCACCGCCTCTCCTGACCGGAAAGGAGAAAGCACCGCGCTCAAAGCACGCCGGGCGATCATGCACAGTACGAATGATCGGACAGACACTTCATCGACCTGCGAACTCATAAATGCGATTCATTAATGCTGGTCAAATCCACTCGGATAGCAGTCGTTCGTTGCCTCACATACCAGAATGGGCCTTCTGTTGCCTCACATACCAGAATGGGCCTTCCCATCGTAGGTGACAGGACATAAAGCACAATCCCTGGAATGACCATTCATGGTATCGAGGAGCAGCTAGACGTCTCTGAAGAAGATGTGGTCACATCCCACAATTCAAGGAGGAGTCAGGCTGTCCTTCTTCCATTTAAAAGCCCCTTCCAGCACACTGGAGGAGAGGTCGCAAAACTTAGAGAAAAGAGTTGAGACCAAGCTCTCTGCATAATCTTTGCATTGCAGCATCACTGTTTAGCTCCGAGCTCCGATCGCCGGCGAACTAAGCAGCATCGAACTCTATTCTCGATCGAACGGTCCAAGGGAAGCAGACTCGACACGAGCATCGAGCGAAGCGTCCTATAGCCACCTAAAGTCCCCACACAAAACAAAGAGGGCTTTCCCTCTGCTTCTGTTGTAATCATTTGATTCGTTAGTTTGTAATAAGCTTTCTTATAAATACAAACAAACACTCCCTGTTTTCGGAAAGAAATAGCCTTTTTATAAGACTTCTTTTACACAACAAAATGAAAATTACAATTTTTTAGAAACAAACACAGGATCGTTGTTTGGATCGCTGCTTGCGTGGGATCTTTGCCTGTGCCGGGAGTGCTTTGACTCGTGGACCACCAAATCACAGATTCTGATTGAATCGTGAGGGGTTTAATGATTCTTCCTTCGTTTATCGAAGTAAGAATTTGAAACGATATCTTATCAAAGTAAGATAGTCATTCTTCTTAAGATCAAGTCAAAGCTCGAATCTTAAGGAATGCCCATAAGCTCAGGAACTCTGCTCTCTCTGCTCCAAAGTGCTCAAAAATGATCAGCCCCTCTCCAAAATGATCTCAGGGGGGTATTTATAGCCCCTAGGATGAAATCTGCTTCCGAGACAGTGTTTGCTGTCTCGGCGGCCGACTCGGGTTCCGAGACAGTAAATACTGTCTCGGAAATCCTCAACCGCCCAGCAGTTTGCTTGTAACTGTCTTCCTACGTTTTACAACTCCGTTATTTTGGCAGTTATCAACGTGATTCTCGCCCACGATATTTTCCACGTCCTTGGCAGTTGATGGACACGTGAACGACAGTTATGAGGGTGGTTGTTGACCATCTCAACACTGTCTCGCTGGCGAGACAGTAAACACTGTCTCACTGGCGAGACAGTAAAAGACTGTCTCGCTGCGAGACAGTAAAGACTGTCTCGCTTGCGAGACAGTAAAGACCGTCTCATTGGCAAGACAGTTCATATCTGTGATTTTTTTGATGATCTCATCTTGAGCTGTATTTGGATATCTTTCAGCATTTTTTGACGCCTACAGGCACAATCAGAACGAAAAACTTTAATACGAGATTGCCATTGAGTGAAAATCATAGCAGTGAAGGCTTGATAAGCAGTAAGTACGTCAGAGCGATTCTTAAGTAGGTAAACCCTTGTAAAACGAGAGAAATCATCGATAAAGCTAACATAATATAAGTAGCCAGATGAATAAGGCAAAGGAGCTGGCCCCCAAATATCAGAATATACTAAATCAAATAAGGAAGTGGATATAGATGTACTCATTTTAAATGGTAAAGCAGTGAATTTTGCCAATTTGCAACCAGTACATGACTCAATACTAGAACTAGATGATACAGGACCAAGTACTCTAGACTGAATAAGACTCTCTAGCCTTTTATTAGACACATGACCAAGTCGTCTATGCCATAAATTGGCAGGAAGCGAGGTAGAGGGTTTTGACGAACGAAGAGAAGCAATAAGAAAACATGGACGTATGGACTCTGGAAGGTGAAGATATTCCAGAAAATACAGTTTGTGCCTCCTACGACCCGCCCCAACCATCTTGCCCGTCTGTGGATCCTGCACAATACAAGTATCAGAAGAAAATAAGACAAACAAGTCCGCCATGCATAAAGAGCTAATAGAAATTAAATTCAAGCACAACTGAGGAGCCACATAGACGAGACCAAGTGTTAGACAACCATAGAGATCATTTTGTGGGGTAATAGAGCCATACTGAGTAATGGACAATGGTTGTCCAGCAGCTGTGTAGATAGGAGGAAGAGAGGATGAAGTAAAGACAGAGGATAAAAGTGAGGCATTACAAGTCATATGAAAGGAACAACCAGAGTCAAAAATCCAGAGATCATTCATACCAGAGACTGA